TCCAGATTACCAGGTTACTGTGAGGAGCTGCTGAAGACTAATCTGGGATCTACTGCAAAATTAGTTGCCCGAAAACATGGTCAGCGTGGTCCTACAAGATTTGATAGAATATATATATATATGTATAGATGCGTGTAAAAGGGGATTTCTAACAGGATGTAGGCCACTAATTGCAATAGACGGGTGCCATTTGAGTGGATATTATCGTGGTCAACTTCTTGCAGCGGTTGGTCTTGATGGGAACAATGGTATGTTCATTATAGCATATGCAATTGTTTCTTCTGAAACTAGAGAGACGTGGCAATGGTTTTTAGAGAACTTAATTACTGATATTGGACAAACATCCATACGTGGAGAGAGATGGACATTTATTTCTGACCAAGGAAAGGGTATATTTTTAATACATTTATTACTTTACACGTACTTATATTTTTATAGAATTATTTCTTAATGAATGGTTTGATTTATAGGGAATAGTGGCTGCACTTGAAGAGTTGTACCCTTCTTCATATCACCGATTTTGCGTACGCCATATGTATACCAATTTCCAGAAAAAATGGAAGGATGAACAAGTTAGATCTTTATTTTGGTTAGCTGCAAAGTCTACCACTGTGAGTGATTTTGACAAACACATGGGAAAGTTGAAGGATAAAGAATATAGTGCATGCGAACATCTCATAGAAATTGGTGTTGAGCGATGGAGCAGGGCACACTTCCAAAATCATGTTAAGTGTCACATTTTCTCAAGTAGCATTGTTGAGTGCTTCAATGGAGTCATAAAAAGGTATCGAGACAATCATGTAGATATTCTTATTGACAATATAAGGATTAAAGCAATGACATTAATGCAAAAAAAGAAGGAAAAGATGAAAGTGAATGGTGGTTTAATATGCCCGGAAATACTAAAAAAGTTGAATGCATGCATCGTGGAAAGTACTAGGTGGCGTGCAATTTCATGTGGGGAAGTTATATTCGAGGTTACACTTTGGCCTAAAAGATTTGTTGTGCACCTTCAGAACAACACATGTACTTGTAGATTATGGGACTTGACAGGTGTGCCTTGCGTCCATGCGTGTGCAGCAATAAAAGCTATTAATGGAAGGGCTATAAAATTATGTGCATGAATATTTCACACGAGAGTTTTTTTAGGGCTTATGAGTATGAAGTAGTTCCAATGGGGGGTCCTGATTTTTGGCCTAAAACTGATAATGAGCGGATGCACCCACCATTGTTAAGAAGACCACCCGGGAGGCCAAAAATAAAACAAAGGCACAAATCATCATTAGAACGAAAGGATCCCCATTAAGCTAAGAGAAAGTATGGGATGATTAAGTGTGGTAAATGTAGACAGCTTGGCCATAATAAAAGGTCTTGTAAAGAAAATGAGCAGATATGATTTATTTAACACACTACTATCATACTTGACTATGTATATTTGTCATAATGTATTTCTTTTGCAGGAAATCTCTTGATGATGTTCTGTTTTGTCAGCCCCCAACATCCTCATCACACAAAGAAGAAGAGAATGATCCATATCGAGATGGCAGAAGATAACAACCTTAAAGAGGATGATTCATTGTTATCTTTGATTTAATTGGCAAAGTTGAAACTTTTTTATTTTACCTTTTGTTGGAATGACAGCGTTTAAATAAGAACTGTTTACAAGTTATGTCGTTTTTATCTTTATTATACTTAAAAGTACTAGACTTAAAGTTGGAGTGTTATTGGTATTTCATTTGTTTATCTTTTTAATGGTCAGAACTGTTTGAATTAGACCATAAGTGTTTTGATTTGTTCTAAGGGATTTGTTTGGATTAGAAAATACATCCGTATTGTAGACAAAATATTTGTTCATTCATATCATTTTTGTGTGTCACATTTCAATGAAAATTGTTTACAGTACCTGGAAGAGGGAAATTATGTACATAACTACAACTCTACATGATCATGATCCCACCATGCACGAAGGCATTTCAGCATGAGTATTGATTAACTACCACATATGTTTTCTCTTCTTTCTTTTTATCTGGTTCACAAATCAAATAGCAGAGCATATACAAGTGTCCAAAAAAGCTAATTTGATTTTTTAAAAAGGGATATAATTGAAATCAAGAAATGACAGTCATCATGCAAATATGACACTAATCATAAGGATCAAATAATCACTAACTAAAAAATAAACTCTCATTAGGATTTTTTAGTGAACAGTTGGATATTTTCCGACATATAACAATGAAAATGCCATCAATCATACATAAAAATCACCACCATGCATCCCTCCTTTCATGTATCTTTGTTTGGCAGATTTTGTAATTCATATTGTATTTCCCTTTAAATAAAACTTATCTACTAAGCATAAATATGAATTCTACCTTTTTTAATCACATACCACTGAACTAAAAGGAGAGGCAGACCTTAAGTACCTTGAAGGCCGGAGACCGGAGTTCCATGAAGATGCAAAGTCAAGAAGGCAATTTGGAAGAGTCTATGGCATCTTATATTTGATTTTGGAAATGGAAGTTTGAAGTAGGAGGACTTTCAAGTTGAAAAAAAAAATAAAAAATCTGCAATTAGTGAGTAGAAACAGAATCCTCTTTTATGCAATCTGGGAATGTCCACATGATTATGAGAGCTTGGCTACATAGTAGAAATAGAACCCTGGGCTCTATAAGGATACCAAGTCTGACATATTTTGGGTCAAACTTGGGAGAGCTTTACCTACATCCTTTAAACTATATATTTACTGGTTCTGCATGGATGATCCTCTCACGAGCATTTGTTGATTACTGTGTAGAGGGTTGGGATAATCTTCTTAGAACTCTACTTATGTACTACACAAATTTTATCTCTTCTCCTGAAGGATACTTCCAAACTGTTATTTAGTCAACATCAATGCAAGTAGAACTTTAATTATCATCTTCTTGCCAACAATTGGGAAGAAAGCAGGAGGATCACAAAGGTTCATTAAAAAAAATAAAATAAAATTGGATATACTGTAAGATATGATCTATTTTTCCATCAATTTTGTCTATATTTGAAAAAGAAATGGTATCTATTCTTCTCTACAAAAAAAAACAGGAGGAATCAGAACATTATGTAATCATCCATCAGAAATCACAACCATACTATAGATTCAAATGTAAATACTCTAAAGAAGTATGGTTTATTTAAAGAACAAGATTTCAAATTAATACAAACCTGGTCCATGACTTCTAGAATCATTTCTCTAGCCCTCTCAATCTGCTTTCTATCACTACTCTTTCTTTAACGTGTTCTCCTTGGAAGAGTTTACTAGTCTTGATAAGCTTTTCATGGCTACTCCAAACTATGGTCAAACGACACCATGGTTAGATTGGTCGGAGAAGGAAGTTGAGGCGACAGAAGAGCGGGAGATGGAGATTGAAGAGGTCCGGCTGGAAGTGGGAGATGAGGAGGTGCGGCTGAGAGTGGGAGATGAGGAGGTGTGGCTGGGAGTGGTGGAGATTTGTTGAAATTTTTGGAGATGGTGAGGATAAGATAGAACATGTGAAGGAAGACGAACAGAGAGTATTAGGAAATGTCCGGATGAGATTAATGTCCGGATGAAATAAAACGTGAAGTGAAAATTATTTATTCCTAGATAATATGGACTTTTGATCTGCGTGGCAGCCATGTCATATCCCATTAAAAAAAGTTAACAGTGTTAATTATTTGAGTCTTATATAATGATAGATTATCATCTTTCGGGTCCCTTAATGAGAGCAATTATCTTTTAGATCCAGAATTGATAGTAAACTCATCTTTCAGGTCTTAAATTGATAAATTTTCTATGGTATATGAATGCATGTTGTGTTTTAGGTTGCACGACCCATGGGTCTATTTGTAGGGAAAATCCGGACCTAAATCTCTAATATGTGCCCAAGAGGTCTGATTACACAAACGAGCTGATACTATAAAGATTGTTAGAAATAATTATCCTAGATATGACCAAAACTCCCTCACTTTCTCAATCTATGACCTAACTAGTTTTTTCCCCAAAATAATATCTAAATTAATAATATTTTATTTTTCATGGACTAATATACCCTTTAGGTTATGTCTATAAAACCCTAACTTTCTATTCCTTTTTTCCAAACCTAACCTGACCTCTAACGACCCATGCCAGGCCCTGCCATCCCTCCACACGGCCACCTGCTGCTACCGCACGACCACCTACCACTGCCGCCGCCGCAATCCAGCCGCACGCTCACCTGCTGTTGTTGATTTTGAATTTCAGGTTCATAATTAAGATCGATCGTAGATCTCGCTTATAATTCTCTTTGAATTGTGATTGATAATCATAATCTGATGAGATATTGAAGCCTGACTTGGCCAGAGTGAACAAGGAGAAATATGAAGTTAAGAAATTTTAGTAATGAGCAGCCGGAGATCGAGTTTTGGACTGGTGCGGCAATCTTCAATTTACTCATTGATTTTTTATGTGATCCAATGCATCATGTCCGGTGGTGGGATGGGGAAGGATTTATCGTCTATGATAATGTACAAGCTATTAAGAACCCTGGGTTGTAGATGATTGGAGAAAATGTGCAGTGAATATTTTGCATGTAATGCCGTGAATATCAAAAGAAGTGCAATGAATTGACCATATATAAAGTGATTGTGACAAAAATTGCAATAATGTAAAGCATTAACATTGATATAAAGTGCAATTATCAAATCTTGATTATTGCAAAAATTAGTGCAAACATTTTTGTAATGCAAGAAGAAAAAAAGAAATATAAAATGCAAACATTTTTGTAATGCCATGCCATAACTCTTGCATGCGTGCATTATATTTAATTAATCGTAAAAACTAAAATTATCAAAACTAAAAAAACGACAAACTGAAGTGTCATAACTTAAGTGCATGAAGTGCATTATATGTCGTGCAATGAATTCCGTCATAAAGTGCAGTAAATGTTGTGCTATAACGCATTCATAAAGTGCAATATTTTTACACGGATGAAATTAGTGCAAAATGCATCTTTTTTAAATACGGGCATTTTCGACCTTCCACATTGTAATATAATGAAATTTCTTTTATTTTTTTTATTTTTAGTCATAATTCGGGAAAAAAAAGGTAGTCATATTTCGGAAACTCGGTATGTTGTAGTCATATCTTGAGAATATTTCCCTATAAAGAGTTAATCAAAAATACGTGAATAATGATAATATATTCCCTCCGTCCCAAGTACAAAGTAGGTGAGAAATAAGAATCATAAAAAGTAAAAACTGTGTGGTTGAAATTTGTGCAGAGGAGAGAGAAATGTGCAGAACCACAAAGTAGTTGATTTAATACGAAAATGACAAAATTTTTTGGGACAACTAAAAAGGGAAAGTTGGCAAAGTCCAATAAGAGGGAGAGAGTATACCATTATGCAAATACTATCTACTAGTGTATCACGGTCAATGTCTGGGCCTCTTGGTCAGCGGACCGTGGTTCAATATAATACTCACTCAAGGTGCGTGTTTAATCAAAGTGCCAAAATACTCAATTTTCATATGGCTTATTTTGTGCATGGTAATTAATTAATTATAACACACGACGCTTCAATACAGTTATAAATTACTAGATTGAGCTGTAATGAAACTTTGATCAAGTTATAACGAGTTAAATAAGTGTACTTGATTCGGTTGACATTTGGACAATTCCAGCTTCTAATTAGTTGATCAAAAAAGAAATGAGATTTTAATTAGCTCTGCATTACATTATTGCCCCTTAGAGCCAGTGACCATATTTTTTATCTGCTCACAATAAAGAAAGAGATGAAACAAAACTGAAACGAACATTGAAATAACGCAAACCTTCAATTTATTCAATCAATGAATACAAACCTGAATGCTAATACAAATCGAACTCCGTTATTAACAAACAAAATACCCGACTTTTAAGTAAATAAATATCAGGTAATTATTAGACAGGGAAAAACATATGCCAAGCTATAAATATTCCCTGTAACATATTTAATTTTACAACAAAGCTGCCAAGAAAATTGGTAAAAACATTAGGCCCGAAAATATCGACACACTAGTGGCGCCAGAGGGCGGCGGCGGTGGCGGGGTTGAAGTACTAGAACCCGGGGAAGGGCTGCTTCCGGTTGGTGGTGGCGGAGATGAAGGAGTAGAGCCCGGGGCGGGGCTGCTTTTCGGCGGCGACGAGGTGCTACCGGCGGAAGTAACGTTGACCGTTAGCTTTTGACCCTGGGCGCAATGGATGGTGCATACGAAGTAGTGCGGGCCGGTAGACTTGAGCGTTATATTTGCCGGACCGTTATTATCGATCAAAATTGGAGAACCGACATTGCAGGAATCATAATCCTTCTTGTTCACTTCGGCCACCGTGTGTGCTCCGGTCGTGAAATTGAAGGCTGCATATTTTATGGGTTACATTTGCGTTTTATTATCTGAATAAACGATATACTCCACACTTCAAAATAAACGTGAAAAATTTAATAGAGTTAAAATAAACTTGAAAATTTTACTATAGTTAACTCATAGTAAAATAAACATAAAGTCAATTTTATCCGGAGTAGACAACAAATTCCATACTTCTTAAAAACACGTGGAATCAAGCTAGGTAGTGACGGAGCTAGAAAAATGTGTGAGATGATCAAAATTTAATTATATGCATTGTCAAAATGACATGTCATTATTAAACAACTAATGTGCTAATAAGGTGTTTTATTTTAAATTTTGGAATATAAATAAGAAATAGTACTCCCTCTGTATCTATATAGTTGTCCCAGTTACCTTTTTGGGACATATCAAATTAATTGTTTCATTCCCTTTTTGGAAACAAATCCACTCAAAAAGCAGCTACAATACTGCTACAGTGCTATTCTCTCCGTCCGATTAGAAGGTTCACAATTTTCTTTTTTTGGACGTCCCGTTAGAAGGTTCTCATTTCTATTTTAGAAAACAATTAACAATCTTAAGTGACAAATTAATCATTAAATATTAAAACTAATACATTTATAACATCACAATTATCAATACTAACTGCATTAAAATATATACCCATTAAAATTATTTCTGATAATATACTCGAAGTACTTTATTTAATTATTGTCTTAATAACTGTGTCGTTTTGTTATGGGAACCTTCCAATGGGAGGGAGGTAGTACTCAGGGGCGTAGCTAAGGGAGGGCCAACCCTGGCCCAGCCCAAAATTTAAAAAAGTCTATATTTTTAGTGTAAAAAATTCCGTGTAATATTCTTTGCAAAAATATTCTTTGTACCGGCTTAGTCCGACTCAGTGCTCTGCCTCCGCCCCTGATAATACTATAGTACCGCTACAGTAACAAAAGCCTCTTAGATTTCACGACTCATAGCATATCAAATTGAAGGTATTTCAAGACTCTACATTATCGAACTTTCAGGGGTCGGTTGTCCACCTTGAGCCCCCTATCTCCGTCCCTGAAGCTAGGAATTTAATTTTGAGGGAGAGAAAATGTGTGAAAATATGTGAAAAACCATATACCTTGTAAAACTCCACTTACAATTTAAAAAACGTACTCAACTCTAAATGATAGGAAGCTATACTATTGGAACTTTTTTTGAAATATGAATAGAACAATGTAAAATTAAAAAGGGCAATATGCATCCATAATTGACAGACTACTTTCTAAATATAAAGTAATTACTCCTGCATAAGTATTAAATGGAGAAAAAAAGTTTTGAAATTTCAGAATAAAACAAACATGTTTCTTAATCCTTAAATAAGAGTAATTTATGTCAAGTTTGACATTACCAGACATTAAATACGACAGTTCTTTTCAAACTTTGCAAAAATTACTCATAATTAAGGAATAAAAAGGAATTATGTTTTACTTCTATTGAGGACAATTTCCCCTTTTTACATATGTGAAGTAATTAATAATGAAAAGGGTAGAAAGAACGTACTCAAGACATCTCCAACAGCGAACTTGATGTTTTTGGCCCAATCAGAGTAAGCGCTGTTACTGGTCGGTATAGACCACGCGCCGTTCCCGACGCTGTACGTTGCTGCATCTGAGCCCCGAAAGCCGATAGCAGCGGCTGCGACGGCTAATATCATCAAAATCACTTTACCGCCCATCCTAGCTTAGCCTGTGTTCTATGAAATTCAATCTCAGGTCGCCCCCCGCTAACTGTAAGAATACGATATAATTCCCTGTTTTTTTTTTTTAGTGAAAGAAGATTAGCTTAGAAAAATGATGGATCCAGGCAGGTTGAGGTTTGGAATGGAAGATTTGCAGTCATTTTATAAACAGGTGAAAAGTCAACGCGGCAAAAACGTTTCAACGCGGAGTGGTTGGAACTTCCTTGTCAAAGGCTAAAGCCCGACCCGTTCTACCATGTAGGAGCTGGGTATCACATACTCCGTATGCATTTGAGTTTGGATAATAAACAAATGAAAAAAACCAGAGGTCATTTAGATAGGTTAAAACATTTGTCTCACAACGGAAAGTTATAAAATAATTAAATATGAGTACTATATAAGGCTTTGAGCTAGTCTTCCAATCAGGTTTATTTTAAGATGGAACCCCGAATCTTAACATGCATTTATTTGTGTACACTCTTTAATTGTTTTTGTATAAACGACAACACAAAAAATATATATTCCCTCCATACCGTTGGACTTTGTCAAATGCAAAGTAGGTGAGAAATAAGAATAGTAAAAATTGTGTGGTTAAAATTTGTGTAGGGGAGGGAGAAATGTACAGAACCACAAATTAGTTGTTTTAATAGGAAAGTGACAAAGTTTTTTGGGACAATCAAAAGGGAAAGTTGGCAAAGTCCAATGGGACGGAGGGAGTACTTTTGTATCATTTTTCATTTTCATTTACCCCAGTGCCGCAAAGGCTCCCACCTACGGTGGGGTAAGGGGGGGTCGGATGTACGCAGTCTTACCCCTGTACTAAAGCACAGAGAGACTGTTTCCGGATGACCCTAGTGAAAATCGCATCCAAAATTGCAAGGACTGACTACTGCTTCATAATAAAGAAGCGCAGACAGTGGTATCAAATTAGAAGAATTCTTGGTGTACACGTTTTTATATCCATCAGTACACGCTTGTGTCTGTGAGAGTATTTTTTTGTCTGTGAAGCGCAGTCCACAGACATAAGTTGGCTTCTGTTGTCTGTGAAAATTTTCATATAAAGATTAAAGAATTATTGATTGAATATATATGTAATATGTACGGAGTAGTATATTATTAACTCCATGTAGCTAATAGGTTAATAAGATGTTATTTAGAAAATTTGGGAATGTGATTAATAGAAGACAAATTTAGTCCATTTCATATTCGAATGATGTTGAATTTTGAAGAGTCGCAATTTTTTACTCGAGTTACAAGGAGAGATACGTATTATATATGAAATCGAAAGCATATACACGTTCTATGTGTTTGAGTTTTAAGTATGCTCCAACAGGGCGGAGATAGGGAGGGGCTAGAGGGGGTCTCAGCCCCTACAAGAAAAAAAAAATCTTAAGTATATATTATGTATAAATACTTTTAATCTATAGAAAATATGTTGATATTTCTAAAGTTTGGCCTCTACAATGTAAAATTTTTAAGGGATCAGTCCTTTTAATCATAGATTTCTGGCTCCTTCACTGTGCTCCAAAATGGAATATATCATGTATGTAGGTAATCAACTATACAAAGTCAATGTTTAGCCGACGTGTGGGGGACTAACTTAGCACCCATGCAAGGTGGAGTCTGTAAACTTAATTTACGTTGGAGGGTCAACTGGACAAATAAAAAAAATATAACCAACTGTCAAATTATTATAAAACGAATGTTGGAAATTTTTGAATATTTCAAATGAATAAGTTCTTCTAATTATTATTTTGTGAAAATTTAATGATGATTCAAAAGACTATTTTAATCTATAATTTTAACTTGTTACAAAATGGCTGTTCACCTACAAATTATTATTATTATTGCATTTAACGTTATACATTTCCTTTAATGATTAAAAACGGTTTCTTAATAATGGCCATTAATTTAGTCATTATTTTGGAGAAAGCCAACTTTATCAACTTGTATATATTTGAAGGTGAAGGTGATTGGAGATAATTTTCACCAAGAGCTACTCACGTTTTATTATGTTAAAAGGATTACATGTACACTTGCTTGCTCCATTGGTGGGCATAATCAAGGAGTCATATATATATCCATGCTTGGCAGTTCGGCCGACTCACTACGATTTATATTATATATAAAAAGATATCACGGATTATATTTTGTTCAAATGATTATTGGGTTCATATACTAATTTTCTTCTCGTTAGTTCTGTTACCGGTCTTGTACCGAAGGGCTCGTTATATCTTGGGGGAAATTTCCGTACGCCGGAAATAATTCCTTAGGACAGCGTTTGACGCGTCTCGAACCACTAATGTATTTTTAGTTGTTTTTAGTGATTATTCTGCAGGTCAATTCTGGGAGCTAGATGGTCAACGAGGTCAGCTTGGGAGCAACACGGTAAACACGTTGATTTTGGAAGGATAGAGCCAACAATCTAAGGAATTATTTCCGAATAAAAATTACACCTACAGAACAGTCAACGTGGCAGATACAGCTCCTATGACTAGTGACGCCAAAAGTATGGCTACATTTCTAGCTCCAAACGATGGTCAAAATCACGGTATGTTTTTTTTTTTGGCTTTTGTTCTAAAAGACATTTTTTACATAATTAAAGTTTTGGGGAAATCCACCAAAATAAAGTGTAAACTTTGTTGGCGGTGATGATATAATTGTTGTGGTTATTTTTTCAAATTGACGAGTGATGTGGGAATGAATAGACGGTAGATTTTGAGGCTACCAAATTCATTTGTGAATACAAAAGTGTTTTCCTCCTATTGTGTAATAGGAGATGGAAAAATAGAGAATTCGTTGAAACTCACATCTGAAAAATTGTTATCTTTAAATGACGTATTTAAAGAGTGAATTTTGAATAAGTTGTGGTTAGAGTCATTTTTCATGTGATAAAATTACTATGATTATTGAAAAAAAATTAATAATAAATTAGTGAAATGTGTGGTGAACTATATAAATTTTATTAATATTAATTTTACCATGATCGACATGAGGTTGTAAAAGACTATTGTCAAAATGGATATCATACATTGTATATGTTTAGTTTTCTAAATTAATGGCTTGTTTTAAAAAATTTTAATTGCCCGTATTTAGTGGCTGTATTTGTAATTTTCTATTGTTTATTATTATTACTGTGTCATATTTAATATTTTTAAAATTCTTCGAATCCTTGCTATTAATTTTAATTTAATTGTGATTGTTGAAAATTGAGAATTGCATCGGTTATCGTTAATTAATTGACATGCCGTTACAGAAATCAATCTTGGTGTATACATGTTTGAGTGGTGCACTCAGACCTCTTTGATTACATTTTGTCATTGGAGAGTCTTTTTTATCTTTATATTTAAAATTAATTGAAGTATGTATTTTTGTATGCAATTGTGAATATACGTTGAGAATCAAACTATGCTGAATATGCCTTGATGATTGCAAAGATTTTGTCCAGATTATAACTCTCTGTTAGGAGCTTTTGAGTGGAATGGTCCTATTATCTTTATTATTGCAATTTTAACTGCCTAATGTACGAATTTTTTGTGCATGCATACCTGGTATGTAGTTTTGGATGACTATAATTTTGAACCATTTCTTTTATATGAGAATTGTCTATGAGCCCAATTTTTCAAATATTTAAAATGTGGGGGTGCTTAGCTAAAATCTTATTACTTGCTATAAAGAGAGAAAATAAATTTCTTGGTAGACGAGAAATGCTTTTGTGAAGGGAAAAGTTATATTATTTGAAACATATATTTGGTGAAAATTGATTTTGACGTGGATCATCATTTTTTTTCTAATTGTGTTGTTATGCTTATTAGCTACCTTGAGTTAATAAATGGCTTATATAATTTTTGTTGTTTATTAATATGTTAAAAAAGTGGAGCACATGGTTTTCTTATATTAAAGAAACATCGTGCTTGTGTGTGATGCTTTAAGCTACATTATTTTTTAGATTTTTGAAAGAAAAAAATGTGTATACGCTAAATGATGCATGTGCGATTATGGGTTTATGCATGTGTTGCTAGAATTTGTATATGCTTATTTGAGTAGCTATATTGAGTTGATATATGAAGTCAATAAATGTAATTTTGAGTATTAAAGCCATAAGGAAGAATGGTGGTATTTTACTATCATTATATTGTAATTTTGAGTATTAAAGCCATAAGGAAGAATGGTGATACTATTAAAAGAAACTTGACATTCAGTGTTAATAATGTGAATATCCCTTATGACTTTAATAAAAACTTTAAAAAAATAATAATTAAAACACAAAGATGTGTATATGCCACCCAAATGGATAGTTGGGATACCTTAAAAAGATATTGAGATACTTGAGAGGTACCATATTAATTGTGATATATTTGATTGAGATTATTCGTTGTAATATATTGATACAACGATGACATAATTTATTGAGAAATATCCATTGTACTAGACCGGTACAATGATGTTATATGAGAATTATCCATTGTACTATAATGATACATTGGTGGTAAATATCTTCTTGAGATTTATCGGATGTGCCAGAGGGTCACATCGATGAAATTTCTTATTAAGAGCTATCCGTTGTATTGCCGGGATACGACGACGACATCTGAGTCGACTCACATGAGATAATATAAAAATGTGGATATCCATTCACCCTGAAAAAGTGGTGTAATGATGTTTGAGAAATATAATTTGTCTAAATGACTTTGAAGAATGAAATTAATTCATTAATTTTGTGAAGTCAAGGAATTAGCTACTCCTTTGACAGAATCCCTAGGACGTCAAATGATTAATTTAAACATCGAGGGAAATGGACTAATGTCACTTTGACAACAAATAGGGATGGGAACCCAACTTGTGTGATTGGAGATCCCATGAAGCAAGTTCAAATGGGTAATAACAAGTCTTCTATTTGTTCTGTTAGCCTTGTAAAATGTCCATTTCTATGGTGCGGAAGGCTAGACTGCATTTCTTTGTGAGGTTGAGCTAAGACTCTTAATGATTGTCATAGTCCTTACGGGTGGTGTGTTAAGTGCAGTACACACTTGATGAGGTCACCTATATGAGTGTGAGGTGGGGCCGCCTCCATGAAACATTGACAACGTTTCTAGAGTACTCAAGAAAACCAAGCACGCGCACGGCCTAGAGGCGCACAACGGCGTTAACGACGAGAAAGGTGGGGGTGAAAAATGATCCCCTAAGACACTGACTTATCAAAGTAGATTATTGGTTCATAGAAACTATATGTTTCACCAAT